AGCGTAAAGACTCTGCATCTTGCCCTAACTCATCAAGACGATCAAGTTCAGCAATATCAGCAAGAACTCTATTCTTCTTCCATTCAAGATTCCCAAACACCTCTTTGATCCACTTTTTAAGCTCAATTTTGAGAATCTAAAACTTCCTAGCCAACACAAAGCTAGCAGAGCCTGTAAAAGTTGCCTCCCCCCCCACCAAGACTAGACTTTCCCTTGGAAGTCCTTAGATCTCAGCCACATATTTTCGAAGCGGAATGGTGTGCGTCTAGATCTCATCCCTCCGCAATCGAGAACTAAGGGCACATGATCGGACATTACCCTAACCATAGCTGCCCGAGTAACATCCGGGAATTTCTCTTCCCATTCCCCAGAAATCAGGAATCTATCCTACCTTAAAAAAGTAGGGGGATCCCTGCCATTAGACCAAGTAAAGACTGCCCCTTCCAATGGCAGATCAATAAGAAAGTGACCATCAATAAAATCTGAAAACTGGGTCATCTCCAAGGACCACTTACCCCCTGTGGACCTCTCAAACGGAGACCTAACAAAATTAAAATCCCCGCCTAAGCACCAAGGCAACGACCACAATCCCTTAACGTAGCTGAGCTCTTCCCAAAAGACTGGTCTATCACAATCAATAACAGGACCATAAACTCCAGAAAAGACCCGACTGAAATTATCATCCTCCATCTGAAACACACATGACAAAGAGTAGGGCCCTTTCTATATGTTCGTTCTGGACATCCATCTTTGATCCCACATAATTAGAATTCCACCCGATGTGCCAGAGACATTTAACGCTTCCCATTCCACGAACCTTTCACCCCAAAGACTCCTAACCACCTCATCGGTAATAGAGGCCATCTTGGTTTCTTGCAAGCATATAACATGGGCACTCCACTTCCTCACAGCAACCTTGACCACCCTTCTTTTATCCGGATCATTTAGACTACGGAAGTTCCATGTAATAATTCGTAACTTCATTAAGAACCAAAAACGATCATTTCCCCTCCTCCCCGTTTCCCACTTCTGGTCCTTCCCCTTTCTTGAGTCACCCCATCCTTCCCCTCGTAATTTACATAGGAAATAAGGTTCTTGACCTCCTGTTCCCCTTCCCGATGTGATAAATGTTTTCTATTTTTAACATCTTTTATGCCTTGAAAGGTCTCTGTATTATCGTTTCCTGCCACAATTGCGTGAAGAATGGACTGAGTTCGGTCATCATCACCCTCCGAAGAGACACCCAAAGCTTCACTAACCTCGCCAATATTTTCCATCACCCATTCCATACCCAAATCATTAGTCGTCTTTAAACAATCAGGGCGCACAACTGCCAAAGGTTCCATTATGTCCACATCAGATTGATCCATTTCCATGTTGGAATAGAAATCATTAGAACAGACCAGCTAAGAAGAAACCCGATCATCATACTCCTCCCCCTCGCTCTCTTTGCCATTCCCGTACGTATTTAACTGCATATCCAGCTCTGTTCCAGAATCATCCGTAACAGACGTCATCAAATCATGAGCATCATTCACCTGAGTCTCGGATGGTAGGCAATTTAGGCCTTTCAAAGCAACAAAAAGCTTGAGCTCTTTGAGCAAAGCCACAGCTAAATCATCTGTCAACTTGAAGTGAAGATCCCTTCCTACACAAACTGCCACCCCATTGAAGCAACCTACACTTCTAGACCTAATTTGAGAAGTATCGATCAGTGACCCTTCAACCCGTGGAACAATAGCCCCAGAAAAGCCCCTCTGTTGAACCGAACTATTCTCCACCCCACCACCACTTCTCAACACCCCGCACGAAGGAGTAGAAATAGAACTCTGAGAATGAGAAACATAATTCAAACCTGGAAAATTAGAGGCAGGAGAGCGTGCAACCCACTTCTGTTTTTCATTACAAGTCCATCGAGAGCCCTGGCGATCGGCTGCTGCAGTCATCGTCCTCCACTTCACTTTCTCAGTCGAAGACCAGTGGGGTGTGTCTCGCTGTATAGAAAAAGAGAGAACTTAAGACTAGGCCTGAACCTGGTTTTGTCCTTTAATACTTGCCCAATGATGGACCTGGATTATTTAAAAAAGAAATGGACAAGGAGTTGGGTCTTCTCTGTACCCATCTTTTGGTGTGGGCTGTCCGAGGCCCAGATCTAGCCAAAGTCCTATTAGGCTTGGGCTTAATGAGCCCATTATTCAAACCAAGCCCATAATGACTTAAGGACTCACCCTTAGCCTACCCTGACACCTTCCGACCCAAATCAACCTTAGCCCAATCAAAGTTGCGGCCTTCCCAATCTCTTCACCAACCCTTAGAGATAAGGAAGAATCTGGATAGGAGCCCCTACGACCGCCACATGCATCTCTCTCCTGTTCAATTTCAACGCGCGTGACCGGCGCATGTCGGCCACTTCTTCTTCCCCCCACGAACTTCACCGCCCTTTGTATTTCTCTTTCCTTGAGCCATTGTTGGATCTGTAACACCCCTTTCTCCCCTTCGCTAAGGATTATATTCCATTCTTCCTCCGTCATAAGATGTGACCCGTCGCTGCCTTCTAAACTCTCCGTCGAGGGAACAAGCTCCGGCAAGACTTCTTCCCAGATCGTGCCCTTGTAACAGAAGGTGTCATCATTAATAAACACGAACTGTGGACAATCTGAACCAATTCACACTGTGATCCGAACACTTTCGGCATCTCTCGTCTCATCAGCAACAACTCTCACAAATCCACCACACAACTCCCCCACTTCAACAAACAAGGCATGACACCATAGATGAAGAGGAAGTCTGAACAACCGGATCTATTTGAGACCTTTGTCTCTGAGAACACCACAACAACCAACTCTGAAAGACCACACATCGATCCGCAAAGTTGCAGATCCCCACTGTCGCTGGCCTTCTTTCAACACCCGTTGAGCCTCTGCCTGAGAAGGAAACCTGAAGAAAAGCAATGAGTCGGATAAGGGTGTAACCCCCACCCCACAAGACGTTTTCCATGCCCGCGTCGCCCATTCCTCCACTCGATCACACACCCCAACCTCCTTGTCGAATCGACCGACCAAGCAAGATGAGAGAACCGTTTTCTTAAGCTAAATAACATATATGCCTCTTATACTTGATTCACATGAATTAAATCACAATTATGTCATTTCACATTAAATCATTCTTGATTCTCGTATTAAATCAAAGTGGAGTCCATGTTACATTTATCACCTTTCAAATTATTTTTCCACAGAATTCATTAGTGGAACAGCAGTGGTGCATATAGCACTGCTCAAAATAAGATGACAGCATGACACTTCTAATTAGCGAAAACTAAAAAGAAATTTTTTTTAAACAGAGTTGGTTTATACTGACTAAACAAAATAACAAAATAAATTTCGTGAAAGTATCACCAAATAATGTGGATAGTATGAATAGAAGGCATAACCAAAGAGGCATGATGGGATTTTAGCACATCTCTTAGGTTAAATTTTCAATGTGAAATACAAAATGAACATATATTTGTTGTGACTTGACATTTGAGAACTAAATTGATAAGAAAAAAATGAAATTGTAATGAATGAGACATATTACGCCCGTTGGATATGAAAAAGTGCAAGAATAATCCAACTTGCATTACAACGGCACTTACTTGATGTTGAGTATATAAGTGTTGGGGAATATTAATAACATTCTGTTAAGTGGTAACTAAAGTTTGAGATGACAGAGATATTCAAATTACGTGCGACTCTTATGAGCAAGTCATGGTTTGTGAATTGCGATCTATCTTCAATATTTAGTTTATGGGAAAATGCCAAGTTGGTTAAGTTTCAAAAAATTAAAGGCATGTTTCTACTCTGACATTTTCAATAGGAACATAAATTTTGGGCATCCAAAAATGAAAAAGTGGCGATCTTCATGAGAAAGAGAAAAAAAAAAAAGAGTTTTATTACGCGATCTTCATGAGAAAGAATCTCTTGATGGATTGTATACTCTCGCTCTTCAGAAACTGGCACCATTCATTCCATGAAAAAGATGTATTGTAACAATCATCACACCAACTCAAAAAGAAAACAAAAAACAAAAGCTAACCAAAAAAATCTCATATTTGATAAATAAAACCTTAGTATAGATGTTCAAAATTAAACTGTTTGTATGGCAATGAACCAGCAGCCGAGAGCTTACTCTGAACATTATAGCCCCAGTACTTACTAAAAAAATGATAACTCTATACTCGTAGTTCAGAAATACTGTTTGTCCCCTTTATCACGTGTGTTGATGTCTGGAAACCACTAAGAAAGGGAGAGAAGGGAGATGAAACAGCAGGGAGAAGAAAACGAAGAAAAACATGTGAAAATGACCAGCGAATAAATTGGCTTTTATCTTCCTTTCGGAACCACCATCTACAACTACAACCAATAGAAACCAGTGACAGCATCAGAAAGAACGTGACAGAGACCTGAAGTCAAAGAGACCCTAAAAAGTAAATTAGATGAGCTCCAATGCCAAAACAAGAGCAAAATATACCCCAAAAATGGCTGTGGCTAAACTAACATAGATGAGTTCTGAAATTTTGAACGCCAGCATCTCTATTACCTATTGTTTAACCAGAACACTCCCATGCAAATCTAATATTATCTTAATAGTATGATACTCCTCTAAGTGATGTTTCATGCGTTGGTCATCTCTTACTTTATTATGTATGTTCTTGCTAATTAAAACCAAATAGTATCCCAATCCATATTGCACAATATTACAACAGAACTTATTCCATTAAGTTAGGGGGCACAAAAGAAATGACAAAGATTTAAATTACTTCTTGTTCGTTGATGTTTATATTAATAAACCATTGTCATTCTCCTTTTGCATTTTTCATTTTTGTGAATGTAGATTTTGTTCCATTCTGTTGAACCTGCATGTCAAACTCACTATTTACAGACACTTAATATTGTACAATCTGTAGAACAGAGAAAATATCACATATAAATAGAAACGTAAGAAAAAATAACTTGACTTACTGGACGAAGAGTTACACTGAACTCATGCTCTTCACCATTCCTTAATACTCTAATTTTGGCCGTTTCATCGGGTTTCTTCATGGAGACCAAATGATCAAAAGTTATCCGCTCTCTATTCCGAAAATGAACTGCAGGGTATAAAGAATGCAAATATATTATGATAGCGGAACTTCACAAGTCTCCCAAATAAGAAGAGGAAACTCTCTTTTCCTAGAACCATTTCCTGCTTCTTTACAACTAACATTTTCGAGGAACCTCATAGCTAATGGCCTTCATTTGGCAGCTCGTGAGTGACTTTTTTGAGAATGCCAAAGAGCCATATTGATGTGGCTTGCTGCCCAATGAAGATCACTAATGGACAAATGGCATCTCTATATTTTCTTTTCAACATAGCTATCAATTTACTTTATTCACACAACCCAACTACATCTTTTTCTTTTTGTCTCACTAGAGAAGAAGGGGGAAAAGTAATAAGAGCAACCAATCAGGCAATCATATTTATAAGCAAACCAACAAACACAAGTCCACCATATGCAAATAATGAGAAAAAGGAATTAAAAATATGTACCAGTCCCATCATTTGCTATCGGCACACCATCAAAAGCAAGGACAATATCATCTTTTTTCAGGACTCTATGTGCATCAGAAAGTGGGTTAATTTTGCTCACAAGTACCCCAGTCATGTCAGGAGACATTCTAAAGTGTTCTCTAAGTTGAACATTTTCAGTAGGCTGGCACGACAAACCCAAAGAGCAGAATCCAACATATTTTCCACTTTCCTCCACACCAGTTATAAAATGTTTTATAACAGGAACAGGGATTATGTAACTGCAAAATCGAAATCATGAGAGGAAAACAAACAAAATTTGAGAAACAATTATCACACAAATTCATCTAAACATATATTTTTATATCACAAATACCAAATCATCTTCCGAATTACAATTTTATTAAAGAAAAAAGAAGAAATGAAGAATAACATCAACACCTAAAATCATTAAGCTCCAGTTGTAACCTATAAATTGCTAGACTAAAGTTTTTCATTGCAAAATACATGTTGGATTCTGATAGCTTCGTATCTCTGCCCAATCATGCATCATGTTTTTGTTACTGACATTGCTAAATAATGTTAATAATTAGAAAATTAAATGTGATATTGTAATACTATATTGTTTCTATATCTATACTATGTATAAATGGATGGATGAACTTAAGAGCAAATCAAGTATTCTTCCCTTTTTAGATTAAAAAGAAAACCCTTGTATCCCACAAAATGCTCCTACCATATCTTTTATATAACAAGACATTTTTTTTTATTTTACTTTTCAATTAAAAAATTAACTATATCCCACATATCATAGTCCAACAACAGTGTTTGCACAGTTGTTATCAATAAAATCATGCAAAGCATTTATAATATTACACAGTAAAAAAGTAGATTACTTTCGATATTTCAGACCAATTGTACAAAAGGACAGAGAGATACATGAGGTGCTAATAAGCAGGAGTGGAACAGGTTGGCAGTCTAGTGGTGTCTTTTACAACAAACACAACAAACCCAAGCAACAATCATGAAACATGACATAAAGTAAACACGCCACACAAAGAGAACACAAAGATTTAGCGTGGTTCGGAAAAGCCTACGTCCACGGTGAAGATCCGGCGAAAAACAGGGTATTACAAGTTTCAGCCCCAAACCCTAGCTCTCGCTCTCACTCTCTTTTCTGCGATTTTCAGTGTCTCTCAATATCCCACTCCAAACCCTAAACACCCTTATATATCGGGCTACAAGAGAGTACTAAATAGGGCCCACAACCCGCAAGCAAAACGGGTCAAAGCTCAATCAACGGGTCAAAGCTCAATCAACCGGTCATCGCGTAGTAAATGGACCTCAACATGACCCGGAACCAAATTCGGGCCACAACATCACAGTGTCCTATGTGATAAAAGAATATCAAATAAACATAAAGATTTTTAGAACATAATTTTATCATAATATTATAATACCAAATAAGTTGTTATTTTAATACTGCAAATCAGTGCTAAAAGTGCTTTAGGAGATATTGTTCTAACATGAAAAATGCTTTAGGAAGTTGGTCCTTGTTTCTTCCTTCTAGCTCTTTGCTTTTTAACTCGCGGGGAAAAAAAGAAAAAAAAATTGTCCTTGCGTCCACTAATGTCATTTCCATTTATCCACCAAAAGTACCAATTTCAGGCTAGAAAAAAGGGGTCAATTGTCAATAATACAATATGACAATATGATAGTCCAACGTGCCCATCTGAACCGCACTGACCAAAAAAGGTTCAAACAAAGCATTCCCATAAGAAATCCAGTTTTAGGACAGTTTAAGACAATTTTTTTCCTATTCATTCCTCAGCTTTTCCGTACAAGATCTATTCAACTCAGTCACAACACCACAAAAAAATGGAAGGGCAGAGAATTCTTCCAAATATGGTCGTTGACATGATAAATAAGTACATCTACCTCCCTCCATCAAATCCAATCCCAAAATTTTGCCATCCTTATCCTCCAAGCTTCAGTAGAAAGTGGAGACATGGATATGCATTCATTCATGGTGCACCATGAGGACAGATGAGATTAGGATCCTACATCTAGCAAAAAAATGCCAAAACTTGATTGGCACTGTTTTAACAGTTAAAATAAGACCTTGATGTCCATGACCAAAGAGATATAAAACAATGTGATATTGAAGATTAAAAAGGAAATTCTCATCAGACAAGCTCAATAAACAGTAAAATGGTTTACTTGATACTAGAAGGAACCTCTTCATATCAAGTAATTACTTAATGATGTCTTATTCTCTAAAGTAATATATATGCACATACATATATGAACACTCAGAAACAAATCCAAAAACTCACCCGATATTTTCTGCACCTGAAAGGTTCTGAAAAGCTACCCCAGCAACTTTGTTGCCCATAATTGCTGGCCCTCCACTATTCCCTGGATTTATAGCTGCATCAATTTGTATTGCCATGAGCTGGGTAGCACCATGTACATACTGTGTGGGTTCAACTCTGGAGACAACTCCCTTTGTAACCGAAATGTTGTCCCCACCTGCAACCAAGTAGCGCAAGGCACAAATTCTTTAGTAAAAATAGAAACCAAACATTGATTTCTTTTACAGTAAAACAACACTGACTGTCAAAAGAAAAAATATATATAGTTTTCTCCTGCATCCTTTCTGAAGTTTCGATGAAAAAAGATTCTTCTAACAACAGACAAAGTAAAACCCCTTCCCCAGGTTTTATTTCCGCTAGTAGGTTCCTGTACATGATATAAAAATTTACATTGTCTTAATGGGTACAGCAAAACCTTTACTGAAATCAATATTCCCCACATATTGCAATGAACATTGATCTGAAGCAGTAGAAAATCTGCATCATACTGGTAAACATGCACATGTCCTTAAAAGATGTTCAAAGGGACCCTTACACTACCCATGAAAAAAAAAAAAAAAAAAAAAGGGGAACCCTTACACCTCAGACTTCTCCAAAAAAAAAAAAAAAAAATTGACAAGTGCAGATATATTAGAAAGCGGTCAAGAGGGCAACACATCCCAAAAGCTACACAAAGGCCGAAGCCAAAACAAAAATAGGATTGAGTCAATGTAGCTTTTAGTGAACAACAAATTTGTTGTAGCAATTGGAACAAATTCAAGAAATCATTCTACAATAATATTATTTAAAGGGGCTATTGCTTTGTGCATAGTAAAACCTCCTGACAATATTATTATTTGCTTTTTAATTATTTCATATAAATTTCATATTAAAAAAAATTTACTTCAATTTTTCTTATAGGTATATTTTCTTGCTTGCTAAGAATGAGGTCTTATCCAATATTCAAGATCATTTAGTCTGGTGCATGACCAAGAAGTGTTAGTCAAGTATCCAAAATCAAGAATTTTATTTTTAAGTTATGGACACATTCAAAGACCATGTGTCCACAATCGTCCAAAAAGTGTCTGCGTCTGACATGTGTCCATACAGGGACGGCTCCATTTTAGAAGTGATTGTACTTCTTAGGAGAAGAGGGGTCAAAATAGTAGAGACAGGATGTAGAATCAACCAGAGTCATAGCTCTCAATGTAGAATTAACAAAGAGCAAAGAAGGAAAAGACAAAATCTGATGTACAGGGCAATGTGGGATTGATTAGGAAAACAAGTTGATAATGTCTAAAGCTTCTGTAAGTAAAAGCCAATTGCTAAAATTACAGGATGAAACCCTTAAGTCTTTTTAGTAAAACAGGATGAAACCCTTAAGTAGCTTCAGAGAGACAGTAACTTAAAGGAAAAAAGGCTTTAAGATAAGAGAAAGGAAAGCCATGTGATATCTCCAAAGATTTCAGGGAAAACACAATAACTAAGGAATGGATCACTCAATAGTACTAAATGATTTATTAGAGGTTGTCCATTCCATTTTCCATAAAAGTGTCAATAATCACTTATAGAAATGAACTATTGAAATTAACAATTGGAGGACAAGTAACCTGCCTAGAAGAAACTTATATTGGATGTAGGAAGCACCAGTAAACGTATAAACCAAGTGAAACTTAAAAGTTGGACCTTAACCAACAAAATATAACTTCCAAGCTGATCACAACTTAAAATCAGTCCACATATCAAAAGTAAAAACACAGCCAAGCCCAATTAATCACAATATAAGCCTGCACCAGAAAGTAATCAGTATAGCCTAAGGATTCTTAGGTAACATGTAAAAAGTTAAACACGATATGGTCCTAAGTATGACAAACTTCAAAACGTTGCTTGAACCAGTAAGGCATACAAGTGCACTAAAATAAGAAGTCTAATTGTGGTTGTTCGGAAGTAAAATAAAGGCACCATGATACTAACTTTTACTTTCAACTTGAAATCTCATAAAAATTAATCTTGAATTTAAGATGCAGTTCTCCATCTTTTTACTCTTTCTGCTACACTTCATTTTGTATTTTTCTCTAAATTTGTACAAGATAAAGTAGAAAAAGTAGACAAAATGAAAGCTATATTTCTTAAACATTGAGCATCATGCATTATGCATGTCATATTGTTACCTTGAGGATACCCAACAACAGCAACAGCCTCTTGGAGAAATGGAATATCACCAAGCTCCAAGAAGGTCATACCCTCCCAAAATTCTTCACTTTTAACATCCAGAATAGCCAAGTCACACTCATGACCAATAGCTTGAATTTCTGCTCTATACTTGGTTGGAGAACCATGCTTTCTTACAAGTACAAATGTATGATCAGCCACCACATGAGCATTTGTAAGGATCCTCTTCCCAGGGATAACAAATCCTGCATGATCATTACAGGGATAATGAAATTAGAAAATCATCATCAAATGGAATAGTAAGGTTTAAGCGTAAGCTGTTTAGAATTTTTACATTCCCAAATCAACCTACACGGGTTCATAAATTTTAATACGGGAAAACAGTATGCACATTGTATTCTTTGTATGTATAACTTCTTTTAGTTTGCAATAGATTGGGGTGATGCCAAAAGGTTACAACTAAACACATTAAGAATGTGTAGATAAACCACTCTCCATTCTTGAAAAGGAAAAACATATAAACTTCGCATGAAGTTCCCAATTTATATTATATTATTCTTCTAATTCAAGAGTATAATTTACAGATAAAAACAACTCAACTTTTTCTAGCATATCTAAGAACTAAATCTCAATTAGCTGATACATAAAGAATTAAGATAATAATGCATCCGCATTAAATATCAAAATAGAAGTCCGATTACCACGCCAGGAACTCTCTACCAGATCCGCCATGTCAAATTGATGATGGATCAAGCAAGCATTGTACCATAAACGGAATGGCAAAAGAAAACAGTAAAACATGTAGAAAACCATACTGCCGCCCACCCCCAAAAAACACACATTTTTTTCCCAGGAAAGCAACAAAAAAATGTGTTTGGTTCAGTTTTCTAAAAACATTTTTCAAGAACTTTGAGAACATAAAACCAAAAATTATTTTCAAATAACTACAAAACATGCCTTTTGTAACTCAATTTTCAAAAGCTGCTGAACAAACAAACTTTTCAACTGTTTATAGTTGTTCTCTAAAACAGAAGAAAAAGTGGAACCCAAAGCCTACAGACTTCCTTCTTAATGAATTCCCCAATTTTATGAACGCATCAAACCTGGATTTTTTAAATCAAAAAGAAGGTTCCAGTTTAAACACGGATTCTTTTTTCATTTCAATGACTTCATTTAGTTTCTTCATGCATTATTTTTGCATGTCAACTGATATCAGCAAATACCAAATCATATCATTGTTCGCAAGTCATGTTGAAGTCATAATTATCAAGACCATTAATAGAAGTTAATATTATGTGAGAGTTATATCATATAGAGTAAACCTTTGTTTATCCAATGTCACAGGTTTCCTCTTTCCAACATCTCCATGTCTTTCCAAAGGTGTATCACATGCTTTCTCCATAATTTTTAAGTAAATAAAAAAATACTCTTCCCAAGTGTCCAACAAGACAATTGCCCCGTTCACACTGTTATGCCAACAAAGGTCCAGTGAACCAATCCCTAATAGGGAGAAGCATCATATACACAATAACCAGTAGGAGCAAAATGACATGATTGAAATATGTTAATTGGAATCTGATACATGTACTTGATGAATCCCCTAAGAAAGAAACCTTCAAATTCTTAAGACCGTATACGAGTGACGCCTGCCTGGTGCCTAGAGTAAAAGTAAATTGGTGAGCTACTGATAGTGGAGCTGGCGACTGGCAAGCCTGAGAACAGCGCTATAACTGTGATGGTCCTAAGGTAGCAATAATGCCTTGTTATCGAAGTTAGAGCCTGCATGAGATGCTACTATCTCAAAGAAATCCCAAGAGCCATGTGTCAAAAAGCTTGATGCTTTTAAATCCTAGACTAAAAAAAAAAAAAAAACGTTCAAAACAATGATAGATATGCCTACATGGGGCCATACCGGGGTTTTTTCTTGAAATTAAATGTTGATAACCAAAGACAGATGATCTAAAATAGATAGCAGAGAATACATTTCAAGCGTCTGTTATTCATTCAAAATTGGTGAAGGAAAAATTTAGAGTGATCATATCAGAATCCACAAAGCAACAGGCAATCCATCAAAAAATGAAAAACTAAAAGTAACCAACTAGTGGCCTAACGGTATCAGGCTCCTACTTCCCAAAGGGAGGTCAGGGGTTCGAGCCTTGGTGGAGGCATGTGTGTGTGAGTACCAACTAGGAAAAAAAAAAAAAAAAAAAAAAGTAGATAATCAATAGTATATAACAGAGAATAAACTTCAAGCAACTGGTGATCATTTAAAAATTATAAATAAAAAGGAGGAGATATGATACATGAAAAAAGAAAATCAATTTCTAAACGAATTGGGAAACCTAAATTAAAATATGTATCATTAATACTCAAGCCAACAGGGGTATAAACCTTTGATGTGTGAAAAGTCAGAATCTTTTGGAAAATGAGTAAACAGGGTGGAATAGGTAGCATTGGAACACTAAGACTACATTTTTTTTTTTTTTTTTGATAAGTTAAAAATGGAAATCCCAAATTTTATATAGAAGGTTTGTTCAGCTTTCCTTTTTCCTTCTCTCTAAGATTTTACATTTGGACAATTGGTTGATTGTTCTAGACATATTTTTTGTTTTTTTTGTTTTTTTTTTTTTTTTTGTTTTTTTGGGTATGGGAAGAGAAAGTAAAATGCAGAAAAACAATAACTGAAATTTACATTATTATTGTTAGTGTAAAACAAACTAAAACGAAAATTGAATACCAACCGGAACCCATAGTTTCTCGTTGAGACTTGTTCTGCCATGGAAGATTGTAATTAGGGCTACTTGACACGGTGAAAATCTTCACAACAGAATCGAGAGCCAGCTCTATCGCCAAATAGGCATCAACCGATCTTCCATATCGAGCACGCGACGGCTCACCCGAATCTTCAGCATAATCTTCGTCTTCAGCGACGGAGGTGGCGGTGGAGACGGTGGAGGCGCTTTGGGCTACGGAGGAGGTGGAGAAGAATGAGGAGGAGGAGGAGGAGGAGGAGGAGGAGGAGGCATTGTTTAGGGAACTATTTGGTGAGAGAAGAGTGGAAGAAAAAGAACAAAGAGTGAGAAGGGTTTTGTTAGTGGCTGTGAGGGAGTGAGGAACGCAACCACAACCACAAACGCCGGAGGAAATCGAGCGGCGGAGCAGGCGGCGGTGGACGGAGGAGGAGGGCGCGGAAGAGGAGAGTCTGTAAACTGCACGGACAGTAGTTCCCAGCATCGCAGCCCCGCTTCGGCTCGGCGCTTACACTTTGCTGGATTCTGTGTTTTGTGCGCCACCGTATATGTTGTTTCTGTATGTGTTCGCGGGCAAGTAGGTTTTGAGAGTTTTCATCTACCCTTTCTATTTTCACACTTTTATATAAACAAAATTTTTTTTTTTTTTCATCCAACTTTTATTGTAAAAACTTGCAAACATGAAAATATTAGTTAGTTTGGTATAGATATATGTCACACTATGATTTTTAAAAGATATATATATAGTAAAAATATTTAAAAATAAGAAAGAATATAGATATAAATAGATATATTAAATATCTTTAAATTCTTTATTAAATATTCTTTTTATATGTCAAATTATGAGTTAAAAATTAGTAAAAATGTTTGAAAATAAGGATAAAAAATTTACACTTTCATAATAATATAGATAAGTTCCATAGTCACATATTCCTATTCTTGGCATCATATCTAGATCCTAGCCGGAAGTGTGGTGATAGCAATGTTATAGACAGGTATGAGTGGGTGAGCGACAGATACCAGCTAGGTACCACTCATAAACGAGTGTCAGTGGACAGATGACGTACACTAGCCAACTATCGCAATATATTGTAGTTTGAATAGGCAGGTGGCGTACATTGGCTACCTACCACAACTCCTACGGAGTGTGTGGGTGGGTGACGGGCACTACCGAGCTACCATGATCGAGATACAGGTTGTACAATCTCACATCGCCTTTGCCTAAGTAAGGTCCATTTCCAATTGGTATGATGCGTTTTGAGGGTAAAACTCAATAACAAAATCATGCGGACTTGAACTCAAAATGAATAATATCATACCATATGGTGAAATAACATTACAATTTTTGTGTGATTAATTAGACAGTGGCGAAGGGTTTTGAGAATTTACAGAGTTAGGTTTGATGGTGACCCATATGGCAGCCCCATAATACCTCTATGACACCATGTTTCTTTATACCACCCATAGAGACAAATGATTGTGCCTAATCGTTACACTATTTTCTTTACATGCAAGTGTTCCTCATTCTTTACATGCATCATTTGAATTAAAGGGAAATAGAAGGAACAAAATGGTGGGCTAGGTCAGCACCAGCCATGAGGTTTAGAAGAGAAAGAAAGGAAGAAGGGATGTGATGGTCCTGGTTTTTCAAGTTAGTATGTCATGTGATTAATCGAAATTTGACCCAATAACTGATCCAAATGCGGAAGCGAAAACAGAAAATAAGTCTCTAGAGATGCAATGCATCTCTAAGACGCCAAAGTGACCTTCCATGAGGCCACGGATCCCAACGAGAATTAATGCGGAAGTAAAATATCAAAAAAAGACCAAATAAGCCTTCAAGGGCAAAATGGTCTTTTTACATGGAAACAACGTCTCTAGAAATATACGTCATCCCTAAGACACAATCATGACTTCTCATGAAGCCACAGAAACAAAAGGAAAACGAGTGGAAGCGACGTTTTAAAAACGGACAAGTTTAGCCCCAAGGACAAAATAGTAATTTTTAGCAAGATTTGGTTGCTACCCAGCACACCATTGGAAAGACGACAAAAAATTAATGAACTTAGACTCAAGAATCACTTTATTCGGAGTCCGGATGAAAGAGAAAAGTCAAAACAAAGTTTTGACGTAGTCACGACCGTGAATAGTGTTTTGACAGCAGTGAATAGTGCTGAGCAGAAAAATCCTAAAACCGGGTGTCGTTTTGAGGCACTAAATGACGTTTTTTTGGAAAATTAAGAAGAAACCCCCTTCAAAATAATTTTTCTAAGCTGACCATGTCAAAAGAAAATTTTATTTTTTGACATGAAATCTCCAAAATGCCCTTATAACATACTTTTTCAAAAAATGCATGTGCGCACAGAAAATCAGATTTGACGCAGGGTTTTCGAGACCGAGAAGGCATTTTATGGAAAAATATTGTGAAGAAACCCCCCCTAAAATCACGTTTTCTATATGACCATATTAAGGCCGGAATTTATTTTTCAAAGAAAAGTTCCAAAATACCCCTAGATCAGTTTAGGTCAAAAACGATGAAAAAAAATAAACAACTTTGCACTAAATGTTCATTTGATGCTAAATGCATTTCTAGGCTAAAACGATTATGCACGTAAATGTAATTAGTGATTTTAAGCGCGGGGGAATGATTTGCGGCTCCCAAAAATGGACGATGCAAAATACGGCATAATCGAACCTCAAAATGGCTAAAAAGGAACTTTAAAATGAAAATTTAAAACTAAGAATTACAAAATGAATTCAAATGATCGTTTAGTCCTTGGCCAAACTTTATGCATAATTGAAGAGACCCTATAGAAGTGCTAAAGTCCACTTCCCACCACCCATGCAAATGTAGTGATGCTAATGCGTGTCATTTTTCTATTTTTCCATAATATATCATGAAAACAAAAGTGCTTAGAATACAAAATAAATGTCATTGGTCTATGGCCTCATCTCATACATGTCAAATACATCACAAAAGGTGTACTTATGTACACATTACATATTTAGAACCAAATATACAAGTTTTGACATATAAAGCTACAAATAACATTTCATGCTAACAATTGCATGAATCATGAACTTCAAGTCTACAAATCATCCAAGCATAATGTGAATCCCCAAATCTTGATTCTTGTACATGAAAAATGTCCCCACTACGTGGGTGAATAACATAAAGTTACTCGTAGGAGATGAGCATGCAAAGACCTAACGTTTTACAAACTTATTAAGTTAATATAATTTAATTCAAACGGTCATGCCACCTAGCGTCTATGTCAAATGTGAGACTCAGGGAGCATCCTAAGCTACCTTAGATCATTTCTAACATAAACCACATCATTCATGCAATTTAAACAATATAGAAGCATGCGGTACAACGCAACAAAATATTCAATATACAAGTATACAAGACACAAGTATACAAAGTAAAAATGAATTATCATGCACCAAAACATGAGTTAAGAGTAATCAACTATAAACAACTTGAAGTTTAAAACACAAAACCAACAAAATGATACAATGCAACATAGTTGAAATTTCTAATATAGCACATCAAAGTATAGATTATCAAAGTTACTAACCTGTAATCAAGATTGCAAAATTAACTAAAGTGCTATAATTAAACATAATTGGAACCCCCAAAATAATACATCAAGTTATAAATACTCAAAATTATCAACTTGAAAACGAAATTGCAAAATTAAACAAAGTGGATATTCTTGGACACCAACCGGAATAGAACCGTATACAAAAGCCACTTTTGGTTTACTAGCCCGTGGGTACCTTCCCCTAAATGCACACTATAAAGTAAGGAGAACTCACATCTCCCGTACTAGAGCCTTACTTTAGCTATATCAAAACAAACGATGCCCCAATGATCCAAAATCAACAAATAGTGCAACATATGTATATCATATATACTCAATGCACTTAGCTAAATACCATGTACATCAAAGTCATGGAAAACATACAAGATATGCCCTAGGCATTCAAGCTACAATGGCATATGAAATGTCAAATATACAATATGTAATTTATTACACAAGACAACAATATATTCAATATTGGAAACATGTTCTCATAAATATAAATATAACAACCATGTTATCAAATGCTTAAAACATAACCAATTGAGTATACAACAAATCCAATTCCATGATTTAAACATAGAAACAACTTCTAAAACATAATTAAATCCATGGAACAATTAGATAGAATTTAATTAAATAAAAAAAATTAAATTTTCTAAATTTGAAATCAATCCCAAATAGTCTTAAAATAATATATATTAAGGAACATAGCATGGTCATCCACAATATCAAGTTAAAATTCCAATTAAGTGACTAAAATACTTAAAATAAAATTAATAAAATTAATTAATTAATTTTCTCTAGATTTTAAAACAATACCAAATGGCGTCAAATTAACATAGGTTAAAGAAAATACCAAGGCCTATTTTAATATCACATTACAAGTTGATTTCATACTAGTTACAACCATGTGAATCAAATTTTTATAAAAGAAAATTATTAAATAAAAGTTGCAATACTTATTCAAATATTCTTAATTTAATATATGTTAATGAACATATCAAGGCTTAATTTAATTGTGATGGCCCTGGTTTTTCAAATAGTGCGTCCTTTGTGACCCGTAAGATGACCCAAATCGGATCCGAAATGCGGAAGCAAAAATAAAAATAAGTTTTCTAGGGATATATGACACCCCTAAGACGTCAAGGTGACCTTCCATGAAGTCATAGAATTCAAAATAATCAAACGTGGAAGCTAAGATTATAAAATGAGAAGGGAACTTGACCAGGGGTAAAATGGTCTTTTCAAACAAAACTGGATGCAACTGAGTATACCATTAGATAGGCAAGAAAAAATTAATAAATCTAGACTAAAAAATCACTTGATTCGGAGTCCGGATGAACAAGATATGAAACTCCAAAGTTTCATAAAATTAGATTTTTAGGTTTCAAATCAATGCAGCAAGGGTGTTTGACAAGGGGTAAAATTGGTCTTTTCAGATAACATTGGATGTAACCATGCATATCATTGGATAGACAAGCGAAAATGAATAAACTTAGACTCAAAAATCACTTGATTCGGAGTCCGGACGAAAAAGATATGAAGTTTCAAAGTTTTATAAAATTAGACTTTTCGGTTTCAAATCTGTGCAGGGCTGCACAGATTTTTGGATTTCAAACAGGGTTTTGAGGGCTTAAATGACATTTTTTGGGGAAAAAAAAAAGAAAAAAAAAAAAGAAAAAAAGAAGTTGTGAAGAAACCCCCCCCAAAAAAAAATCATGTTTTCTACATGACCATGTCAAGAGAAGTTTTTATTTTTCAAGTGAAATACCCAAAATGCCCCTTAGGTCAGAACTTTTTTCAGAAAAACTTGAAAAAAGGGCGCACACCAGATTTTCCAGACCTGCGAGTTATTTTCAGCATCAAAATGATTTTTTTTTTGGTAAAAATACAAAGAAGAAACCCCCCATAAAATCAAGTTTTCTACTCGACCATGTTGAAAAAAAAATTTAAAATGCACAGAATGCCCCTGGATCAGTTTAGGTAAAAAACGATGAAAATGCAACTTTGCACCAAGTGCTCG